AGATACGTAAAAAGAAAAAAGGAATGCCGGGGAATGCGGATAAATTTTTAGAAAAATGAAAGCCTCTAAGGTTCTCAACCTTGATAATATCGAAATCCCAGGTGAGAACACATCCTCGCGCAGGCACTTTAACTACTACTTCATGTGCTGTCCCTTTACAAATAACTGCTGACTGATAAGTTGATTTGAGCACATCGTCTTCGATCACTGTCTGCAACTACGTCCTTGAAATTAGCATTTTAAAGTTTGGCAATTATGATTATTTTGGAAATGACAACAGCAAGAACAAAGAAGCAGAAATAAATCCGAAAGAAAGAAGTTACTTAAAAAATTAGGTGCAAGTGAAATGAAATCAGAATTCCAAAAAAACTGAAGAAATACTGAGCAGGTTACCTCCTCCACAGGCCTGTACATATCCTTAGGGATATGCCCTCCTTCAGGAGCTGAACACAGGCAAGTTCCGCCCAAAAACTCGGGTATATATTCTTCATCGATGTATTTTCTTAGTTCCGAAATAACCATTTCACCCGAATTTATCATAAATTTCTTGCGCGTATTCTCGTCAATGAATGGAGAAATCAATGTCCAAAGCACTGGAAAAACTCGTGGCGCCCGAGCAATCAATACCAAGCCCATGGTTTCCGGATAATGCGCTTCAGCTACTTCAATTATTCGTAACAGTGCTTGGATTCCAGGTCGCCAAAGATGCCTCATGCTCAATCCCTCCAAATCCACCAATAACGTCCATGTGCTGAAAATAAACACCCCACAATAAGTCGTATTTATTTATTAAAACAATTCAGAAGCTAGGGGTTTAAGCTTTCACACGTGATAATCGAACATTCTAGACTGAGCGATTACTGTCTCATCTCCTTAATCTCGTTCCTGGTCGCTCTTTTTTTTCAGATAACACCATCAGTAAAATCATGCTTCTGCTAATAAAAGCTCTTTATTTCAAGCGCTTGTTAAATAGTGGAATACAAATTTTCCTTATTTAAAGAATAAACCGCCAGTCATGTCAATGAGATAAAAAAGAGCTTCTTCCTTCCACTTCCTTCATCCTACCTCTCTCACCACTCCAAAAAAAAGTGGATACAACAATGCAGTGGTGACCCTTTCGATTGGCTAATCTGTTTTTCAACAAGGAAAGGCCTGATAAGCGCGGGCAGTAAAGATCACCAACTCCATTACGGCTGCTCTATTTTAGGTAAAGCTACATAAGAGGGGCAGCTGATTTTGGCCTTCCCTGCTAATTCACTGATGATCTACGAATTTCTGCCCTCTTTCCACGCTGTCAAATGAGCAAAAATGAGTAACCTTATTGGAGCGCCACGCATTTTTGTCGCCTCCGCTGTTTTGATAAGTCCCTGTTCAATAATTGATAACGTAAATTTCATGATCGTTTCCATACCAAATGTACGCAGTAAGCCTTTCATGTCGAGCTTCCCAAGTCGCAGAACAAACAATGGCCTGCATTAAGTAACAGTCTGAGGCATGGCCTCATTACTCTTCAGAAAAGATTACGAAAGGCTGCACTGTCGTACGTTATCATCCTCTTTTCCTTAGAATTACCTCCTTTCTGAGGTAAAAAAAAGCCTTCCTGCTGGCTACGTTACGAAAAGCAATTTGAGTGGCTTACAATTCATATAGTTATGACACTGAGCACGAATAATTCAACTGACGTCATTTCATTATGATACAAATTTGAAATGCAAGCAAAAAACCAGGCAAAACTTGAATTACCTGCCCTCCTTATCGGCGTGATGCCAACATCCTGGGAAAAACTGCTTCAGTTCAAGCGGTGCTTCGAACTCTTGTAAAATTTTGTCCACGTTATGCTGTTTGCGCCACTTGACACTTTTCTGTACCATGTCACCAGCTCGAGCTACGTCAAAATCACGAGCGCGCAAAAAACGCAATAAATGAGCATCATTTGGAATTTTTCCCTAAAAGCTGCACAAAATTTCCCCGGGTATACCAAAGCATCCAATAAAAGTGATCAACTGCCAGAATTCTATTGCACCAAACCTGCATAAATCAGTAAATTTGGTTTCCAGCCATTTGACGGGCCTTTCTAGACTAGCCGAAATATCTGGAAGTAAGATAATGGTGGGTAAAAATAGGCACAACGGAGAAC